CAAAACCCGAGAACTTTTGGGACTTGAGTTTTAAGGGCTTTGGGGCGTGCGGGCCATGATTCAGGGTTTCGGGGCTAACCGCTGAGTACCTTAACATCGCAATCCGGGTGGGCCTGTCGATCAGGAGTCGTCTTCATGTAAAGTTCAAGGAGTCGCCATCGGGAGTTTCAGAAAGCAGGGGACCGGATATACAGCCCGGAATTAGGGCGTAGGCGTGGCCTCTAGGTCTGCTCTCCACAAGACAAGACCTGACGCGGGAAATCGTGGGCATCTACCCAGATACGGGAAGTCAGACGGTTGAGAAAAGTGAAAAGTTCCAGCCCTGAGCCCTCTCCTCAAACCCGAACCAAAACAAGGCCACAGTACCCCTCCTTATGAACAACCCCCTATAAAAGCCCAAAGCCTTATGGACTCCGAAAAAGTGGACAACCGAAAACCTTCGCTAAACCCTGAACCCTTGTTCCCAAAAACCCTGTGACTAAGCCGCCTTGGAGTCCGGCGTGAGGCCGATCTTCCTCGCTGCGCGCGGGCTTTCTTTGAGGGGATTTTCGAGAAAGGGTGGGTTCCTAGACGGGTCTCGTTCGGGGACCCCTAGAGCGGCCTTTTTTTCAACCGGGTTTAGGGTTTAGGGTTTAGGGTTTAGGGTTTAGGGTTTAGGGTTTAGAGTTCGAGGGTTAAGGCTCACGGCTTTTCGGCTCCGGGCTGGGATTTGGAACTGTCGGATTCAAGGAGAGGTCTGTTTGGGTTGTGAGGGCTTCAAGTTCAGGATTCCGTGCGTGGCTGGCCGCTTCCAAATATAAGATTTTGGCTGCTGAGGAGTAGAGGGTTGATTCGGGCAGGAGACGGGCGAGTAACCTAAATCTTAGGCTCCAAACCCTCGGACTTTGGGATTTACGGCCTAAACCCTAAACCCTAAACCCTAAACCCCGAACCCTCAGACTTTTGGGCTTACGGCCTACATCGGCTCCTGATGATCAGGAACTGCGCCAGCGCGGCCACCAAGCCTGGCCGAAGCTGCTTCTGAGACAGCCGCGGAGTTCCGGAGCCGTTGCTTTAGGGTTTACCTGGAGCCTAGAGCACCTACCTTCTTAAGGGTTCCTTACTATGAATTCTTTATCTTTAAGTCCTCAAAAAAATAAGTTATTTGGCGTCAAGGTAGTGGCTCTAGGGCTTGCTAAAACTAAAACCGATACAGGCTTGCGGAGACGGTGAACGCGACAACCCTACAGCGAACCATCACACGGAAGCCTAAATATGATTAGACTCGGCTTTACGATTCCTGCTCCTTGCCATTATCACTGTACTGTTACCTTCATTGTGACCATCCATCGTCACCATGATAGTTGTTGTTGTTGCTGCTGTCGTTATTGTTACTATTACTACTGCTCTGCTTTTGGGGTTAGCAGTCACGGGTGCCATAATGCCGTTTTAAACGCTGCATCGCTTCCATGAAACTGAGAGAGCCTAACCGCCGCATGAGCTGCTGCTACCGTAAACCCTAAACCCTAAACCCTGCGGTATATCTATAGGAAACCCTCCGGAACTTTAGTGTCCGACATAAAGCCTGCTGAGCAAGTCCCACGACCCCGTCAAGTCAACCCAAAACACACCGTAAAACCTTTCAAGATCGTCTAGAAGCCTTGCGAAACCCTTAGCAAAGAGGCCTTTACAGCTAGATTTGGGTTTAAGGTATTGAAAACCATATATCTACATTAAGGCGTTCAGGAACCCTAAGCAATGATATTGCTAAGTGTTCAGGCCCCTAAATATGTTGACTGCTTTCAGCACCCATGGTTGTTGCATCTCGAGAACAGCAGCTCCAGGGTACGGCAGGCTCTACTGCAACTCGGAGGAAGCCCCCAGTCACCCTGGTTTAGGGGTGTAGGGGTTTTAGGGTTTAGGCTGGGACAAAGCCAGGGCCATCGGGCTTTGGGACTTTGGGGGGTCTAGAGGATGAGAGGAGTGCAAGCTAGGCGGGTCTCACAGAGTTAGAGCGGGTTTAGGGTTTAGGGTTTAGGGTTTAGGGTTTAGGGTTTAGGGTTTAGCGAGATTCATCCTACAGTCTTGCTCTGCCAGGCTCACACGAGATGTCACTCGTCTTACTGTCATGTGTATTGTCGCTGTCATCGGCAAGGGTTGGCTGCGAGCTGAGACAGGGGTGCTGACAACTTCCTTCGTGGAAAAGTCGTGTGCTATCCGGGCCAAGAGCTCGGCTGCCAGGCCACTGGACCTGAAACCTACATCTCGACATCTTAAACCCGAAAGCCTAAGCCCCCAAAACCTAAAGCGCTAAGCCCTAAACCCCTGAACCCACGCCCATAGCGAAGCTCGCACCATCAAACCGGAGATGCACTTGGTTGGGTCGGGTTAGGGTTTGGGGTTGGGAATTTAGAGACTCTCGTCTGAGAGTTGAAGGTTTACCGAGCCCCGAAGCCTGTGACTCCCAAACCCACAGACCCCACAACCACCCCTAAAGCCTGGAACCCTATGACAACTCGCTAACTTCGAGAGTCTGCCAGCCGTGGGTTTCTTGGGAGAAGCCCGGAAAATGCCCGAAAGCTCACTGGCGCTTGCCATCAGCCGCGCGCAGCTTCACGAGTTGGCTTTTGACACCTGGGGACAGGAAGAGGATTCAGGAAATATTTCTACCCCGCTAAACCCTAAACCCTAAACGGCCCTAAACTGAAGGTGTCGGGCTCTCTGGTGACTCTTGAGGCTTCGGGGCTTGTCATGAATAGGGATACAAGCACCCGGATGGAAGCTTCGCCTGAGCTACACAGCCACACACTACAGAAGCACTGTAAGCACAGCTGCCTGTCCAATGGACCCCATGCAGACATAGATTTAAGTTTGCTTGCGTCATCATTATACACACCTGTAGTTTTGCTCATGCTCCCTTCAGTAGTGGAGCCGGATATCCGTGTTAATTCATCCTTTCAGATTCAGAAGTTCTCTTAACACTTGACCCTACACCCGACACCCCAGACCCTGAAACCTGAAACGCTTGAAACGCCAAACCGAAAATCACGAACTTTCCGATATAGGACATAGGAAGATCTATACCGAGATCTTGTGAAACCCCAGTTCAAAGAAGAGCTCTGAGAGGTGCTGCTTCTCGGCCTCGTGGACGACTTCCAGAGCGGAGGGCTCCTGGATGCGAGGCTTCTCCTCGTTGAACTTGCCTGGGCTGCTGTTACGGGTTTCCTAACCCTAAACCCTAAACCCTAAACCCTAAACCCTAAACCGTAAACCCTAGGCGTTGATGAGCGTTTGTGTAAATTTTCGCATTCACGCCTTTTGGCTTTGGGCTTACGGGTTTGAGGGTTGCAATAGGCGTTTTATGGTGATTTTGTGGGGGGTGGGTTTAGGGGTTTGGGTTTAGGGGTTTGAAGGTTTTAGCAGGTGCTGATGGTTAGTTTGGGAGTGTTAGGGCTTATGGCTTTGAGTTTAGGCTTAGGAGCTTGAATGTTTGGTAGGCTCTTAACTGGTGCTTTTGAAGGCGTGGAGGGCTTATGACGGTTGCATAGTGAGTTTGAGTGCTGGAGGTTGTTGTTGTCTTTGAAGGACGTCTTATTGGGTTGTTTATAAGGGGTTGTACGGGGGTTGAGGGCTTTGGTGGTTAGGAGAGCTTGCTTCACACTGGGGGCTGCTTAGTAAGTCACTGGTGGTTTGCTGGGGCATGGTGAAGCCTGCTCAATCTACACCACTCTTTGAACTCTGCCCAACAAGCCCTAAGAAAATGGAACCTTGACCCCTGTAGGGACCTGCAAACCCCCCTCCCCACCAATAACCTCCAACAAAGTCACATTTAGACCCTAGAACCCTAAAACCCTAAAACCCTAAATCCGAAGCCTCAAAGCCCTAAGCCCTAAGCCCTAAATCCGAAGCCCTAAGCCCTAAGAGCCCTAAAGCAAAGGAAAGCCCTCCGTCAACTTCGCACCAAAAAAAGTGGCTCAGTGTGAGGTGGACCCAGGCAGGCTGGCCTGCAGGTCGGGGACCAGTGAACCTCAAAACACCGAGATTCGACAAAGGGTTTAGGGTTTAGGGCTAAGCGCTTAGGGTTTCAGGGTTTAGGGCTTTGAGTTGAGGGGTTTAGGTTTGGGTTTAGGGTTTGGGGTTTAGGGTTTGAGGCGGTTTTTAACGGGGTTCATTGGTGTACAGGGACCCTGGTATCAAGGCTCCGTGAAGGCTTTGTGTAAGGGCTCTAGATTCTTGAGAAAGGATGCTAAAAAAAAGCTCTCTCACTTTTTTTATGGATTGTGTGGAATGCTTGGGGTATACAGGGTGTTAAGCGTTTGGGGTTTTGGATGGAAGGCTGGTAAGACGAGTTGTAGAATGGTTTGCTTATGGGGTTTAGAGTGTTGGGCTTGTCTAGATGATCATTAGACTTAGTCCTAGATGATAGGCAGGTGGTCATTCGGGCAGTTACGCCAGTCACTGATTTCCTGTCCATATGTATACCTCCCAAGCAGTGTACTCCTAGATTTGGAAATATTTGGCCGGGGTGCAAGCAACTCTTGCCGATGAGACAGCTTCTGACTGTCCAGTACCCAACTAAACAGACGTTGAAAACACAAAACACTAAACCCTAAACCCTAAACCCCAAACCCTAAACCCTAAGCTGAATCACAATCCTACCTCAAACCCCTGTTGGTACTACGTCCCTCAGGCTCACTAAGAAGCTCCAGGCCTCGGAATACATCACCCCAACCGCACCAAATCGCAAACGCAAAAGCTCAAGACGTTAAAGACCTGTAAGTTGTGAACCCCTGAACCCTGAATTCCCAAACTAAAGTTTCTAAAGCTCTGCAACCATCTACAAAGCCCATAAACCTTCATAACCTTTACAGCCCTACAACCCCTCAAGACCTTCAGAACCACCGACAAATCACCTAAGACTCTATTTTGCGCGCAAAACTGTAAACATAAACAAACCCGTCAACACACCCTAAAGGGACACCCAGCAAAGCAGCCCTCGAACACACCAAAACGAAACCCCTGAAAGACGCACCTTAAAAACCCTAAACCCTAAAGCCTAAAAGGACACACCTTCAAAGCCCCAAGAGGAGCCGAGGGACATGGACTTCACAGAGACGTCCCGAGCTCGGAGGAAGCTCTTCGACTCGCCGGGAATCCGGAACCTCAGACAGATCCGGCTTGGCTTTAAGTGGCAGTTTCCGAAAATTAAGGGGGTACCGTATTGGTAGGGTTTAGGGTTTAGGGTTTAGGGTTTAGGGTTTAGGGTTTAGGGTTATATTAGGGTCCCCTATTTCTCGAAACCCTCAAGTCTTTCCTTCAAGGGTTCCACTACATGTTACTATAAGGTTCTAGGGTTTCATGTCCTTGCAAGGGCTCATTGGAGCTTTTACCGGTGTATTTGAGGGCTCTTTCCGGCGTAATTACTGGAATCTAGAAGGGCTTAGGATCTTGTCCTCGCATAAATCGCGGGAGTTAGGAGGGTTTATAGACATGGTTCTATCGGGGTTCAATGAGGGTTTCGGGCTTGGGGTTTGAGGGAATCTCGAACAGAACCGGAATTGCAGCTCAAGGGTTTGGGCTCTTTCACGGTACTCTAGGGTTCGATAATAGGGTCCCCTTTCAGGGTACTATGGGGGTACTATAATAGGGTCGCTCGCCTCTGAGGGGTTCTTGAAGCCTTACAGAAGGGTTTAGGGCTTGGTGTCAACGTTGGTCCTGATACGGATTCCACGACGGTTCCGAAAAGGACTCAATAAGGGTTCCGTCGGCAAACCTTCAAAATCACGGCGATAATGCAGTTTTCAAGGGATGTTAAGGGCCTATAAGGGTTCCCAGGCAAGTTCCTACGAGGCTTCATGTTGTTCCTGAAAGGGTTGATAGAGGAAGTCCATAACGGCTCTTTTAGGGTTTTGCGGATTAGAGTCTGGGGTGTTTGCTTTAAGATTTACGGGTTGGAGTTTACGGGCTATGATTTACGATGCAGGATTTATGGTCTAGGTTTTAGGGAGTAGGATTTGGCATGGTCGGTTTTTGGCTTAAGGGTTGGCACCTTGACGTCACTGTCATCAGCTTTTGTTGCTTCGCGCGAAGTAGGGTTGCTATTCATCACAGCTGGCTGCTATGTTTCCCACTTGGCTTGCTAGTGATAGTGTTGATACGATATTTCCTGATGCAGCAATGCGTACTACGACTTTGAGGGTCCGGTGGGGGCTCTGCAGTTTGCTGTTGAACTGGGTTTGGCGGATGGTGGCAGGATCAGGTGTGGGAGCATTCAAGGTGGTCGTTGAGGCTTAGGAGTTCCGTGTAGAGGATTGCATTTTTTTGGGGGGGGGAAGGCGTTGTGAATTCGGGGATGCGCTGTATAGTCGGTTGGCAGAATCACAACAACCCGGATACAGCCCGAAAGCCCTTAAGCCAGAACACCCTAAAACCCTCCAGCCCTGAATCCATCAAATCACTAAACCCCTGAAGCCCCCTGAAGCAACTGAAACCCTTGAACCAACCCTTCAAACGCTGCTAACTTCTATCATTCAACCGAAGATTTGAAGCCCTAAGCTACTACAGCCCCAAACCCCAATCCGAAAACCCAAAAATTACCCTCTCGATTTGAACACGAAAGTCTTGAAACCCAAAGTCCCACAGCCCGAAACCCCAAAGCCCGAAATCCACTTTCGAACCCAAGTCCCTCGGCAAACCTGCTATACTTACAGAAACTCAGAAGGGTTTAGGGTTTAGGGTTCAGGGTTTAGGGTTTCATTTAACCCTAAATTCTTGAAGCCCACCGTCAGTTTGCCAGGCTAAACTTTACACCCGGAACCCCTAAACCCCCAAACCCTGCACCCCCACACCCGAAGCTCCGAAACCCCTAAATCCCCTAAAACCCCTAAAACCCCTAAAACCCCTAAAACGCCTAAAACCCTGGAACCCCTGAAACGCCTGAAACCCTAAAACCCCGAATCCCGACACCCTCAACCTGCCAGGGGACATCAGAGGTGGTAGGTTCCTGTTTTTCGGCCTCGAGGTGCGCGCAGCGTGGGCCTCGGGCCGTAGATTGGGGGTTCCTGTTTGGGTGAGAGATCAAACAACCAACAAAATGCATCAAAAAAACAAAAGAGTACTTTAATAAACCACAAAATGAATCAACAAAAAAACCTGTCTTTGGCTGGGCTGGGCTGGGCTGCTTGTAACCAACGCCTCTCACTTTGCTCCCCCTTGAACCCTCACCCTCAGGTCCAAACTACCCCATGCACAGACCACAGCAAAACGCAAAAGAATCCCCACCCCTAATGCCTAAGCCAAACTCGACCGCTCCCCCTCGCGTAACCCTTGCTAAGATCCGCCATGAAGTGGAAATCCAAGAGCTCACCCCAACACGCTTCTCCTAAACGCCCCTACCAAGCCTAATAAAAAGCCCAAGAGCACCTTTTCAAATCCTCTCAAAACCCTTAAGTTTATAAAGCTCTCACGAACCCTCAAAAAGCCCTATGAAAGCCTTCGTGACACCCCATAGAACCCTATCCACGCCCAGAACACTTCATGAAACCCGGCATTGCACCCTAAACCCTAAACCCTAAACCCTTCAACCCTAAACCCTAAACCCTAAACCCTTAAACCCTTAAACCCTAAACCCTAAACCCTCCTCCTTCTGAAATAAATGGAAAGCCAAGGGTTCGAATTGCCGGAGCTGCGCTTCGACTTGGAGCCAGTCCAAGGGACGAACAAATCCTCGGTTCCTATGGGAGTTGGGGTTTAGGGGTTTAGGGTTTAGGGTTTAGGGTTTAGGCTTTAGGGTTTAGGGTGTAGGGTTTAGGGTTTAGGGTTTAGGGTTTAGCTGCCGGTTACCTCAAAGCGGGTTCTACAATCGTTTCGGGTTTTGGGTTTAGGGTTCTGAACCCTGAACCCTAAATCCTAAACAAGCTTAAGGGCTTCTGTAACTTTCGGTGGGCCACTTAATAGGAATAGTCGAAAGGATCATTGGGCCCCTTGTAAAAACACTGGAAAGAGAGAAGCCTTGGGATTCCTGTCACAAAAGGACCCTAAACCCTAAACCCTAAACCCTAAACCCTAAACCCTAAACCCAAACCCAAAAGTCAAAAAGGATTCCTACCATTGGGTGTCTCAGAATCTCTTCAGCGTCGGCATGCCGAGCTTGAACTGGTCCTCCCATGGCAGCTATGAGCGCCAATGACTCCAATGTCCCTTGCTATCGGAGGGGATCGCACGGGATCGCTCTGTCGCAATCATAACCCAAAACATGTCCAAGAATCCTTGTGTTATGCTTCGACACTTCAGGGTTCGGGCTCCGGGGTTTAGGAATTTCGGGATTCAGGAGGGTGAAGGGTATGCTTTTTCACAGGGTTTGGGCTTTGCTGGAAAGAAGCTGTGTGTCTTGGGGGGGTTTCGGTCATTTGTTCCGACTCCTTCTGGCACAATGGAGCGGCCGTGGTAATTGAAGTAGAGCTCGGGGGAGAGTATACTTTACTTTGGAACCCTGAATAATTCGCAACACGGTTCTTTTCTTCTTTCCCCTAGACTATGCCAAAACAACCTTCGAAATTATTCAGGCCCCCATGCTAAGGGTTTCGGATTGCCTGTTCTTCAGACCTCCAGACGTGACCTTGAAGCATATCCTCATCAGTCTGCCGCGAGAAGCGCAGGTAGACCTGACATGCCCACGTGACAGACACGAAAAGGGACACACACACACACACAAGAGCAAACAACACAAATAAATCGAACAGGCCTACATCCAAAAGACCGTGACGGCATCGTCGTTCAGCACGACGAGCAAGCGCTCAGGGGAAAGGAAGTTTAACTCGCAATAGACTGAGTAGCGAGATTGATGAAGCAATGCTGCCAGCTTCTACTGAAATGGGAGCATTCCGCGCTTTGGTGCTACCCCTGCCTCCGCCACATCCATGAGCTCAGTGCTGACATTCAGCAGCAGTGTCAGCTGGGTTAACTCGTCGAACCTTGGGTGCCCCAGCGATTCTAAGCTCCTGTCACAGACCCCGAAACCTGCAAAAAACTCTCAACATGAAATCCCAGAGTACAAAAAACTACCAACAAAAACACTTCCATACACATACGTACACCCATGTATGCAATGAAAGCGAGAGCCTCTTTGCCAGCACCCCTCCAGAAAACAACAGCACACTCAACGACCCACATGCACACACTCGCCCCCTAAACCCTAAACCCTAAACCCTAAACCCTAAACCCTAAACCCTAAACCCTAAACCCCAAACCCAAAGGCTGAGACGGCGAGGCACATCTCCAGCTGCTCCGTCAGCGCGCTGCACATGGAGGTCACCGAGGGCGCTGAGCGCTTCGCAGGGTGGCAGCCGGACCTCCGAGGGTTCTTTGGTTCTTTTAAGGGGGGTTTAGGGTTTAGGGTTTAGGGACATGATTCCCTTCAGGGTTCTGGAAGGGTTCTTTACTGGTTCTTCTACGTAGGGGCGATTGAACGTTGGCTTTTGTGTTTGATGTGTTCGTGGCGACGGTGGCTTTTCAAACCTGAAAACAAGCACAATCATGATAAAGAGTAACACTAATCATGATCATCATGACAATGATGACATTGACGATGATGATACTCAGACTATGAACGACAGCAAAAATCATCAAACACAATACCAATCCTGATAATAAACATTAAGATCCTAATCAGAATAGTCTCATTGAACATAATCTTGATAAGACAGCAAATCATTATGCAAAACAAGACTACTGATGCGGATCCCCTAAACCCTCAACCCTAAACCCCTAACCCTAAACCCTAAACCCTAAACCCTAAACCCTAAACCCGTAATCCCCAAACCCTAAACCCCTAATCCTTAAACCCTAAGCAGGATAAATAGACATTGTGTGAATTTCGCCTTGAACTGCATCTTCATTAGTTTCGAATTGTCCTTTGACATGTGCGAAGAAACCTATTCCAAGCCGCGCCAACAGCCCGAGCCCAGCCCAGCCCAGCTGCGAGCAGCCGCCAGCCCAGCCCACGCCAAAAAACCCAAAAGCAAAAGGCAAAATCCCCCAAAACCCTGCAAAACCCCCCCCCCCTCCACCAAAAA